CGTTCAAACGTCGGTTGGCTTTGAGAACCAGAACCACGTAGCTTCACTGGATATACAGCCATTGGTCAGCGGAAAGACTTTTGAAAACCTTCTCCACCCAGTTTAAAGGTCAAAACTGCGCTATCGCAATATACGGGGGCATCTCCGGGATTTAGCATAAGAAGTGGCAGGAGCTCCGGGAAAAATGGTAGTGGTTGACGTACCTCGGAGTGTCCCCACCCCTAAGGCTTCGCCCTGATTCTAGCAAACAACACTATGCTCAACGCGATTCTAAATGCACTGACACCCCGATGCCCCCGTATATTGCGATAGCACCTAAGAGTGTTCAATTGCAAATTTCTAGGCAATTTCAGGGTCATGTTTAGCGGAAAAATCTCTTTTTACGATCCGAAAGCAACACCCACCGTCTTTTTTCTCGGACATGTCGGACATGGAGCTGGACGGTCGGTCAATGCCGTCGATTCCGCTGATGGCATCGATATCGGCCAAATCGTCATCATCAGGATCGTCACCACGGCGATTCTGTGGCGACCAGGTCATCTTGTTCTCCTTCTTCAGACGTCGTCGAGCATTTGCGAACCAAGTGGACACCTACAAATCACATCATAATCATCATCGATCATCGGCGCTCATCGAAATGAAGCTATGCTGAGCGAGCGCGACACGGGTAGGGGCGATTGCAATCAGGTCATATCTGTTTCTTCAGCGCTCCTACGGCGTTTCAAACCACGCCGACGACACCGGTGAATCGCCGAAATCTTTGAACGAGGCGAGAATTCTTGTCATACGATAACATCTACAAGCCTACTAGCCATTCAACAAGGCCGTGTGACAGTTTGGACGTGGAGTGATCGTTTTTCGCTGATCGCATGCAATCATCCGAAAATCGTCACGAATCACAATTAGCAAAAAAATTTTGATTGAAAGATCAAAGACATGGCGCAATGGCGCAATTTTCGTCTTACGTATATCGCTATCCAACGACGGGGCGATAATTAGGTCTGAGGATGGCGACGAGGTAATCGCGATGTTTTAAAGGTGCCGCGCCATGGCGACATCGCCATTGGCGACGTTTTCGCCATCAACTCACTTCAGGATTTCAATCGCACTTGTCGGTTCGGTCGGGCCTAATATGCGGCGATTAGCGCGGTTTACAAATTACCGAGATAACGATCTTACCGGCGGTCGAACCTAAGCGATTGCTAACCAAAGTATCGCTATATGTGTGTTTTTGCGGCATTATAATAACTTGTTTCGTACTGCACAGTTAGCTACCGTAACACACAGTTGCACAAACCTGTGTGAGCGTCATCTTCGTCATCACGGCTAGCATGACCTTTTCGCCTTTGGTCGGATACGGATTTTTGCGATGATCGGTCAGCCAAGCTTTCAACGGAGCCGTCGTTTCACGTGTGGCGTTCTTCCGCCGAGCCCCATCAAGACCGGCCGCGTATGGATGATAGGGATTCATCACGTCAAACACAAAACTAGGAATCGGTCCTCCACCAACGGACATCATTTCCGGTTTGACATCCTGAAAATGATCGACATAAATATCAGTGATTAGGTAATTTATAAAATGAAATCAGGTTAGTGCCTTTCTTCGTACGTGAGCGCTGAACACATAATGACCAGATGCGCGACCTTGACGCCACCTACGTGTGTGGGTGATCGTTGGTATGGCTTACGTATGTAGTACTACACAAAAACAACACCGAGATCTTTCGTGTTTTCCAGACAAGACCACGTCACAACGGAAGAATACGGTAAGGGGGATATGCGTATGTGATGAGGCAGTGGAACAAGCGCAAAACACGATAATGTTTTCAGGGCGGGCTCGCTTGCATATAGTGGAAAACATGCGGCACAGAGCAGAGCAGCAACCCAATTGAAATTGCTTTTCGTGTTGACAAGGCCGGATACGGTAAGATGAGCAGGATGTATTAGTAGCGACAATATCGTGGAGCCATTCACACACGCGACAACAGCGCTTCTCAGCGCCAAGTGCAAACGCGGAAATGGAACCAGGGAAAGTTCTGCCCAGTTCTTTTATAGCCTGCTAAACACACGAAAAAATTGGGGATGTTCCAAAAAATAACTGATGAGGGGTAAGTCACCGACAACGAAAAGATGGCCGCGATAAGCAGGGTCCGAGGGGGGTCGACGGGTACTCTGCCTTGTTACAAGGGCACTCCCTTCGTGGCGGCCGTTGACGAAATAATAGACAACGAACGGGAGAAAACAGCAAGAGAAAACCCAAAGGAAAAGAAAAGGAACTGGGAGAAAACATGGGAAACTAACCGGCTGCATTCCGGGATACATGACCGGAAACGGTAGACCGGCCTGAGCGGCCATGGCACGGAATGCGTCTGCTGGGCCGACACCTGGAACACCGGCACCGGCCCCAAACGGGAACTGGCCACCGAAAAGCGGATTGCCAGCGGCGAGAAATCGTAGCGCGTCCGCGTTCACCTCCATACAACCGTCGGGTTTCAACGGCTGGCCGGCGGCTTGGGTGAGAAGCTGAAAAAAAAGGGAAAATCAAAAAACAAAACGCAAGAGAACGGGATTGGTTTTCATTGTAATTATACGAAGTTATACGAAAGAATAAAAGCCAAAATGAAAAATCCATTTTTTCACAGGAAAGAAACGGTCAGTGGACAAGGGGGGGGGAAGGGGAAGAAAGTTTCAGTTTGAACAAACAGATTCATAACCGGAGGGAACTGACCACAGCTCGAAATTTAGAAGGGTGCTAACTGGAGTAAAAATTGGATAGCTCATTTTCAATAGCGCTAACCCCTTTTTCAATCCCAATCCGACGGGGCATAGTTTTTATGAAATTTGTTTTTGTGAACTGAATAAACTAGCAAAAACAGATTCAAATAACAATCGGAAATAGTATTTACCTGTGCCGGATTGAAGGCCGAATTGAATGCCATCATGAGCCCTCGTGGATGTCACAATGACAGCGGAATAGGCAAAATGGAAAGGAATATAGTATAAGAGAGGATTGCTGAAAGTGGTCAAGTAAAATTTGTTGCAAATAAATAAACAGTAAATAAACACATGTAAACGACTCGAGCATCATTATAGGACCATAAAAAAGGAACCGGAAGTGAAAAAGGGATAAAGTTCGTCAAGGATTCGGGACCATTAAAGGATGGACATAATGATTTTTCAGGGTTAAAATTGATCAAATTCCATGATCCTGATGAATAGATAGTTTATCAGGGGTGATGATCGAAAGTGAGAACGGGCGTCACGGGCCGTCCGTCGGTCCACCAGGTGTAGGGGAGAAAATTCACCCCGCGGCTCTCATCCCGATCAAACGCACACACAGACACAGGTGAAACATGAATAGATGTCGGCGCTATGGTGGCGCTGAGTGGCGCCAAACGCCGAGCGAGTGCGCGGCGTAGGTAGCGGGAGTGCTGATAAACGGTACGATGATATGGGGGACAATAGACCCGGGCAAAGATGATGAGACACGATGATCAGCGAAAACGGATAGACGACAACGCGTTGCAACGGTGTTACCAAGCGTGTTGTAACATCATAAATCGGTCGGTACTGAGAAACCGCCGTGTCAAATGCGAATAAAATCCAATTAAAACGAGTCATCATGGTGGCCAGCGATAAGAGTTAATTGACTGGGGCGAGTCAGACATTTGAGGTTGTCTGTCTGGCACTAAAAACCCTAGTCAGGCAATAGTGAGGCAAAAAATGAACTGACGAAACAACCTCAGCCAATCAATAATTCAACATTCTCAAAACTCATGGTCAGTACTGGTAATTAGACAGGGGATCCTTGGCTAAGCGGTGGCTACTTGCGCGCGACGACAACATGCGGCCACCGCGACGATTCGCTGCCGAGAATTATGTTGTTACAAAATGAACATGCTGTTCACAAGCCCCGCCCCCGCGGTGCGTAATTGGCGGGCTGCTGGCCGGAGGCGGCACCCCGGCCCGCCCCCGTCCCGCCCAATCGGCGTTGATTCGGCGCCGCGGCTCGTTGAGGTTCGCCAACATCGCTGCCTCTGCACACTCAAACACGTCTCGCTCGGGTTACGGTAGCCGAGGAAAGTGAGGGGCGGACCAGCAGGAGGGTGGGGAAGGATGATAATGGCTAACGGCATCGTTCGAACACGGAAACAACGTAATACTACAAGGTATTGAACAATAAAAGTGGGTGATGATTGTTATTGTAGCCAGTGATGTGATCAGTAACGGATGGGAGACTGATAGTGTAACAGAGAACGTCTCCAAAAGACATCACGCAACACAATAAACATTTAATGTTACACTAATTCTCTTGTTAGGGAGTTTTGTGCGTATGTGGAGCTGGTGTTTACAGGTGGGGCCCCGGCTACGAAATGACGAATAGCTTTGACTGGCCGGAACGGCATCAGAGGGCAAATTGACCCCGCCGCGGATTTGCAGTATGGACTCAATCAAATGGGCGCGGCAAATGAGAAGATGTGTAACATGGGGATGAAAATGTTCAGCCGCACAAGTCCGATGAACCCGTTTCGCACGTGCACATGCAGAAAAAAACAGCAGCCAAAAGCGGCGGACCGAGGCCAGCGTCGAGAATTGCGGTGTGGCTTGCGGCGTAGCGCTGCTAGCGCTGCCGTTTGCATACGATCGGCGCAGTTTTACATTAGGCAACACAATAACAATCACCATGAACAATGGACAATGAGTCGAATACACTGTATCGATGACGCGCTTACAACGTAGAAGAAGCTTCTGTTGGCGCTAAAATTGTCCCCGAGGGCAGCGTAGGGAAAACGAAGCAAAAAACCTATGGGTGAGGACCCCTACAGCCTGGCCACATAGTAAGAAAATGGCAATCCTCGTCACTGAAGGGAATGAAAATGGAAAGTTGTCCTTCGGAAGCCATCAGAACCAGCGAAGTTTCAGCAAGACTCGCGATTAGAAGGTTAGAATATCCCTCAGAGATCAACAAAAAGGACATTTTCGAGATTGCATCGGCTGGCTGGGAACATAAGTAACAGTTGTCGAGAGGATCGCTCAACGAATAGGTTATGTATAGACAATGTGTAAACGCAATAAAAACGAATAATTTATATGAAAACAACCGCTCGGGTTTTGTAATCAGGATTACTGTCAAAAATACCTCAAAAATGAATTTTGGAGAAAAGGGGTGGAAACTCCAGGGCTCAGAATTTTCGAAGTGATCTTCCATGAGCCTTAAAATGCAGTGGTTTGTTTGGGAAAAATGCGAAACGGACCACCTCCTCAGAATTCACTTATGATTTCAAGACGTCCTTCGTTTTTTACCTTAGGAGCAATGTGGAAGGGCTCAAAAATCTACTTAAAATCGATGAGGCTAGGTGTTTTCCATAAAATT